CAAACCTTTCCTCTTGTAAAAGATAAAACACATATTCTAACTTTTCCTCAGTATAAAAAATAAAGAAATTCAATCCATTGTGCCCCAACTTCCCCTAATATAATTGCGGTATATTATGGAACCCTAACTTTAGCTTAAATTCAAGACTGTTGAAATTTCAAGTTTTTGAATTAGTATTTTTAAGCAAAGAATTTGTTCCGTGCTGGAATTATTTTATTGCATAGACATTTAGACGATAGAATATTCCTTGCAGACTTTTTTGTTTATTTATATATGACAATAATATTTATTTGTTTATAACTTTTTTGCTTTTTTACTTTTACTTTTTTTTTTACTTTTTTTACTTTTTTGCTTTTTTACTTTTACTTGATAATAATCTTATAACTTAGAGTGAAAAAAAAACATGTTTTTATAGAAAATTTATTGACTCATACACTTTGTAAAAGTTCAAGCTCTTTTGATTTATAATCATGTTCGAATTTGAAGCAAACCGACTAAGCAAAACCTTAAAAAAATTCATAAAAAAACAGACTTTATAAATAAACGAAATAAATCTTTAAAAATTTTTTATAAAATGCAGAATTTGTATAAAACAAAAACAAATTTATTTTTATTTTATTTTATTTAAAATATTTTATTTTATTTAAAAAGTTTGAGATTGTCAAAGATGAGACTTTTTATAAATTTCGATTTAAGTTTTACTAACTTGCCTTAACTACGTTGAATACAAGGTTTGGCTATCTCTCGTGCGCTCACCAAAAACTTGATTTTTTTTTTTTTTTAAACAAAAAATTTTGAATTTAATGAATTTAAAAATTCAATATTATGTTACGAAACAAAGAAATTCATACTAACAGGCTGTGTAAAAAGACAAAGTTTGTGATAAACTGGGGGCCATTGAAGAATATAGAATATATATATATATATATATATATATATATATATATATATATATATATATATATATATATATATATATATATATATATATATATATATATATATATATATATATAAACATTTTTAATAAGCCTTTTTAAATGGATAAACTTCAATTTATCATTATTTTAGTAAAAAAAAAGTTTTAAAATCCTTAATTACTTAGCAATAAAGATGTTTAATATGTGAAGTAAATGTTTTATCAACAAAAAATTAGATAATTTTGATACAAAATAGATAAAATGCTTAACTTAATAAAGTTCTTTTTAATTAAAAATAGTTGGTTGTAAGTCTTATAAACCAACTATTTTTAATTTAATGAATCTTAAAGATTCATTGAGAAACTGCCTAGATGGAATGGACATTTTGGAAAGGGTGACAAAAATAAAGTGAGCTTAATAAACAATATACTCACAAAAAACTATTAAGTACAAATATAAATATGAAAAACTATAAAAATTCTATTTACTTTGACAACAAGTTTTTATTTTGGTTTTTTTGATGATTTTGGATTATATAAAATACATATTTTATCAGTAAGTGGATCAAAAACATGATATAAGAAAACATGGTCCATTAACAATGCATTGTTGAACAAGGTTTTTGAGACTTATTTCATATCTAGAAATGTAAAATAGGGTTTAAAATTTGTATCCAGCTTCAGTTTAGGTAATTTATGAAAAACACTTGATGAATTGCCATCTAATAAAAACTTACATTTTTAACAATCATGACCTGCTTTGTTTTCTCTTACTTCATCTATATTTATACCCACTTGCAAAATTAATTTGGTTTTAAATATCTTGAATTTTTCTAAAATTTGTTTAGTGTTTATAAAATAAGTCTTATATAAAATTATATAAAAGGTTCTGTTGTTAATTTACCAAGTACCACATATCGAAATCCGGAGTTAATAAGGTATTTGACAAGAGCAATCATACCTGAACATGTATGCCAAAGTGCTGTCTTTGTATCAGATGTGAGCTGACACTTCCTTTGTTCTTGACTGCCGGTCATTTTCTGCACTATACAAGCTCAAAATTTTTTTTTTATCATTTTCTGATGATATTACAGCTCTAATCATCATTGCAATAACGTCTGTATATAATTCTTTAACATTAACAATCTTCCAAAACTTTAATATAACTTAATAAATCATATGAATTACTTATGCTAACACATGTCTTCAGTGCAGGTAATGTTTCATCAAAAAATATGTGGAGACAATTAGATACTTTTTACCTTTTAATGAGTTTTAGTGCTACCAATATATTGTTACTTGTCATTGCAACTTCCTTTTTCAGTTTCATGTAATTGTTTAAAATCTGACCACAATGCTGATTTCAATTTACCATCATCTTCAAAATTTAGAGCCCTTTGTTTTCTCAGTTAGATAGCTGTTTCGCACTGACTTTATTAAATGGATAAAGTCATAAAGTAAAAATAATTACTTTATGTTTGGAAACTTGTAGAGAGCCATGGAAACATGTAGAGAGCCATGGAAACATTTTATTCTCCATGGCTATTTAAAAGTAAACTAGTAAGTAAACTAGTAACTGAGTAAAAAGACTGGTTGATATGATTTTTATCACAAATGATAGCAATTAACACTCCATCAGATTTATGAATACAATCAATCAAATGACTTGCCTGCTCAAATAAAAAATTAGCATTAAGTTTGAATACTGGCAAATATTTTGGACCACTGCAAATTAAAACCAAAATAAAACATAAAATGATTGATGCTAATTAATCAGGTTTGTTTACACTTTTTCCTAATAAAGACCTCGAGCAATATGTAAGAGAAGGCTGTACGTAGACTTCCTCTAATAATATACATTTTTAACTTTGTTGCTTATTAAGGTATAAAGGTCTCCAACATTGTTAATCAGTATTAAGGTCTCTAAAATTGTTCAACTTGTGAATATGATTTAAACTTTGTGACTCTGTTTTTTAAACAAATTTGAATCCTATACTTTATACCACAATAAAATCCTTCAAAAGTCAAATCATAATTTTTATCAGAACTATGTATTTTTTTTTAAATCAGTAAACTGTATAATGTATTGTTGGTGAAGTGCTAAACAGAGTGAATCAAAAAGTCAAAACAGTTTAAAACTGACTACTTTATCTTGTTGATAGATGGAATTTGATAGATACATATGGAGTTAAGGATAAATACATATGAAGTTTTAGATAAGGGAGACAACAAGAGAGACTTACGTAAGAGAATATATAACAAAATTCTTATTCTGTATTTAGACAAGTTTTACAAAGGGGAAAATTACAATATTAGCCTATATTTAGACCCATTTCATAGTTTCGGATGTCTGCGTAAGTCAAAACTATTCAAACCCTTAAATTTGCATTACTGAGAAAAAATAGCCAAACTAATATCTTCAAATAATTATCTGGTTTTTTTATGCAGAAAAAAAAAAGTAAAGTCAAAACTTTCAGCAGGCTTTTTTTAGTTTATTTATAAATTTTGAGTTTTTGTTTTTCAATGAAAGTTTTAATTTGACATTTTTTTTTTTTTAGGTGAAAGCTCGGTGTAGTTTTTTTTTTTAGGTGAAAGCTCGGTGTAGCAATTTATAAATTTGCCTTAACTACACCGAGAGAGCAAACCAATCATTCAATCATTTTTTTTTTTTATTCTTTTATTCTTCTTACTTTTATGATAAAATTTTTTCGTAATGTGTAATTTTTTTTAAAGAAATTACTTCTTGTGGTCTATCTTTTGTGATTTTTTAAAAATTGTTCATTTATTTATTGCAAGTGTTTTCTTGAGAGAATGATTCTTTTGGAATATTTTCGAATGGAAATTTCCAAAATTTAAATTTTTAATGAAATTTAATGAAATCATGAATTGTGAGAGTAATTTTGCTTTCGTGAAATGATATGAAGTCACCCTCTTTATAACCTGAAAAAAATTCCTGTACAATAAAGTCTTGTGCAGTTGCTTTTTCACGCATAAGTTCAATTTTTATTAATTTTTTTTTTTTGCAATGTAGCAAATTCAGTTTTAAAAAAGATTGACTAAAGTTTTTGTTATACAATTAATAATTCAAATAAACAAATAATAATACATTAGATAATAAAGATAAACCAATACAAATGTTAGAACAATTATTGCTTGATCACAGTTATCACTTTATCTAAAAAAATTTTTTGCCCAGCATCTTTTTATTTTTTGCTCAGCATCTTTTTTTTTTTCGCTCAACATCTTTTTATTTTTTACTCAGCATCATTGTCAATTGCTAATTTATCTTACATTCAGTCATGTATGAAACATGTGAAACATTTATAAATTATTTTGTTTTGAGTGTATGACTTTTATCTTTTTTGACTAGAGAAAATAATCTCCCATCATAGCAGTATTCCATCATCCTTGATATTAATTTTCCATTTTTGCAATGTCCTGATAAAATCTTTTACTGTGTTCCTCTTTAAAATTGCCCATGTTTTCCAGGAAGAAATCGAGGCGTGTCATCACAGTAAAACATTTATAAATTATCAAAATCTTGATAATTTATAAATGTTTTACTGGCTGTAACCATTGTTTGGCTGTAACCATTGTTTGTTTGAAATTAGACATGAAAAAGTATGATTAGAAATATTTACAATTAAAATATTTATTTGGTATAATCTAATATATATTTAACAGGCAGAAGCAGCCATATTGACATGCAGAAGCACTCATATTGACACACAGTATATAAGCAAGTATTTTATAAATAAATAATTATAGTGATAAAAAATGTATTTAGTCGAAAATAATGATTATAAATAACTTTTACAAGACATTTACAACAGTAAAGATTATAAAAATATTCTAACTTTTTGAATTTTTTCCTCATAAAATTTAAAAAACTGTTGTTAAATGTAAAAACAGCAATTTTGATCATAATGATTAAGGATTAAACAATAACATGCGTTTTTCCCACACTGTGTTGCAGCAATTAAGTGCAATATAACATTCAAAATATATAATAAAACAATTTAAAACCAAACTAAAAAGAAATAAAATAAGAAATCTAAATAATACATAAGAGTTAACTAACCTGAATGATATAAAATCATTTTTATTTGCAAATGTAATGACACGCTTGCTGTCTTCTTTTGGTACCGGAAATAAGTAGCGAAGTATATTTTGTACCTTTTTAAAAAAATGAGTTTTGTTTTCAAAAAAACAACATAATTTGATGAGCAAAATATTTTTTAAAAAACATTAAGCCATTACAGCAGCCAATGTAAAACTTTATAAACAAAAATCTTTTTTCATACCCTTGTTCCTAGTTTAGTTTGAAAATTGTGAAATATTAAATGAGGAAAAGCTTCAGACATCTTTCCAACATCGGGTATATCATGACGCATTATTGTATTAGAGAGTGAAAAATAAGCAGTTGGTCCAAATGGTAAATGACAAATAATTAATCCATCTGAAAATTAAATTTAAAAAGAAGATAATTTCTATTCCTATGAAAAGAGGAACTTTCCCAATTATAAGCTTTGGGAAAAGTCATGTAAAATGAAAATTAATTTATAAGCTTTGGGAAAAGTCATGTAAAATGAAAATTAATTTATAAGCTTTGGGAAAAGTCATGTAAAATGAAAATTAATTTATAAGCTTTGGGAAAAGTCATGTAAAATATATTAAAATTAGGTTCTTTATTATCATTTTTTAACAGTTAAACCAAAATCTTTTTTAAACTGTGACTTTTTTAGACAGTTTTTTTTTTCCTCCTAATTTTTGTTGTGTAACTTTTTTCAAAAGCAACACTTTCAAAGTTTAAATGATAAATGGAATATGTAAACAAATAATTTAGAACATTACTTTTAAGTTTTAAAATGAAAGTTTTAGTTGTACGAAAGAATATGGATAAGTTTGACGATGTAAACACAACTAGTTTGAGGCATGGGGCTATTTTGAATTTTCTGAAGAATTACAGAGTGCAAAGTGTAAACTCTGTTAAATTATTCTCAAAACAGATGGCTCAACAACAACAGCTATTATGAGGCATCTAAAAACATAACACAAAATTGAAATTCTTAAATGCAATAACTTTGTGCCCCAAACTGCAGCAAACATTCATGCTGCCAAAAGACTGCAAATTGAAAGTTTTTCAAGGATGATCATAAAACTCTACCTGAAATTTAGAGACGATTATCAGCTATTAATGGAATCAGCATTCACACTATTGGTAAAAGTGACTCTTTCTGGTCAGCATTTTGTGCCCAGGGATACCAAATCCCTCAAAGTCCTCAAAGCCTTTGCAATCTTGTCATTAAATATCAAGGAACTGAGGCAAAAAAAAGAAAATTCGTTAAAAAATTGTCACCATTAAGCTATGACGATGAACTTCAACTAAATACAATTGAAAAGTTTTGAAAAGAAAAGGTTTGATTTGTGATTCAAGGACATGATGGAGCAGTACTATTGATATGCTTGAACATACTTTGGAGGTACAAACAGAAGTAAAAATAACTCTGATTGGTATGAATATTGATTTTCCTTTAACTAAAAACGAGCTTGATGTTATAAATGAAATTTGTGTTGCTTTAAAATCACTAAAATTGGCCATTAATACTCTTTCAAAAGGAGATATTGATCTTTTATATTCTGAAATTGTGATTGAATTTACAAGAAAAAAACTTCATGAAGCTAATACATCTATAAGCCAACTTGTTAAACAGATATTTGAATATAGAATAATTGAAAAAAGAAACATTTTATTTATCTCATGAAGTACTTGTCAAATTAAATAAAGATGAATTTCTGACAAGAAATAAAGATTACTAATCTTGCTATTAATCTCATTCAGCAATTATTTCAGCCATCTGACGATAGCTCTGATGATGACAATGAAGTAAATACTGATAGTATCAAAAATGAATTGTATTTAGCTCAACAACTCAAACTTTTTGTTGAATAATCAGACACTGAAATGAAACTTAACCATAAGAAAATTGGAACAAACCTTGTTCAAACGGAAATGGCTGTTTTTGAAGCTAGCAAAGCTAGCTTTTAGATTTACTAAAAGTATTTAGATTAGCTTTAAGTATTTAGATTTACTTTTTAAAACTCTTCAAACAATTCCTCCTACATCTGTAGAAGCTGAGAGAGCTTTTTCTAATCTTGGAAATTTTGCGACTAAAATAAGAAGTTTTTTAAATGACAAAACTTTAGATGCACTAACCTTTTTAAAGCAAAATACTTTTGTCCCAATTAATGATGATAAACTAATAAATACTTTTACGTATACATTGTATTATGTGTTTTAACATAACTAAAATAAAGTAACTTTATTCCATAATAGTTCAAACATGTCCAAATGTTGTTTTTTTAATTCTAAACGAAAGCCCTATTTCAAAAGATGAATCAATTTCAGATTAAAACATCTTTTGAAACATGTTGTTACCATGTAGCCTGGATTGGATTTGGGGCCAATAAAATTGCCTTAAAGTAGATGCCCCTTAAAGACTTTATTGCAATGATATCGATACAACATAATTTGGATATTTTTGCATTATAAGCTTTTAGCTCTCATAAATTATGCAGCG